TACCCACTTTAAGCAGTAAAAGATGACGCGAAATGGGGAGAAGAAACAAAGCCCTCTAAATTATCTCTCTTGTTCTTGCTCCATTCAACTTTTCCAACCTTAACCTGTAATTGGATTTTTGCAAATAGAAAGCTTACACATTTGTAGAAAGGTATGTTTTTCTTCGTTAGAATTATTTTGAATCTTTTATTTTTTTTTTCATTTTATATTTTCCTGGGTTTTGCATTTCTAGATTATTGAAGAATTACATAAGAAAATATTGGTGGGTGATTAAGATCCAGATACAATATGTCAATCCCAAAACAACAAGAACAAAGACCCGAAATCGATGAAGGGTCTCTTAAAGGGCCTAAGATACATTTCTCAGATATTTGGTATGTTACGTGAAAATGTTTATCAGTTAATTTGAAACTAATATTTTTTCCCCTTTCTTTAATAAATAAGCAACAGATTGTTTATTTATGTTTTCTGTATGTTTATTTTGTATTAATTAATCTCATTTGGCGGGCAGATGAAGAAAGGAAGCGGAAATGCAGATTGGTAATCCTACGGATGTTAAACATGTTGCCCATATTGGTTGGGATGGCAACAATGATAGTCCTCCCACTTGGGTACTTCCCAATGCATCTATTACATAAATTTTCAAGTTCTACCAATTATTAGATACTAATTGAATATGTTCTAGCTCTGAATTATTTCATATTCTAGCTATAATAAAGGTGGTGTAACCGTTTCAAACTATAAATTTATATGATACTACAATAGATTAAATCAATGATTTTTTTTTTATATTTAAGCACACATACATAGTTACTAAATTAAAAAATAATTCTTTTATTGTATATGTTGGTTATATATACAGATGACTGAATTTAAAGGACAGTCAGGATCTAGTTCTCCCAATGGGAATCGAGACTTGAATAATAATTCATCATCCTTGCAGTCTATCCCTGAAAGGTATCCTCACCCTCAAATATATTTTTTCTCCACATATTTATTCATCTATACCACTACTATTGTCATTTTTATATTCCTATAATGATTTCGTAAATATTTATAATAACTTTGCAAGTCCTAGCAATTGATTTGTAAGTAACGAATATTTAAAGACATACATCTATAATAGTCGCTATGAAAAACCTGACTGTGAGTATGTCTTTAAAACTTCTTCCTCCAAATTATATTCTAAAACTAATAGAATTCGGTAAATCACCACTAGAATTGTCAAAATAGTTTGGAATAAGAAACTATTTGGAACAATGATATGATAAGATGTGTCTTTGTATCAATGATATGATATTATGATATGGTCATTGGGTAAATGATTCCAACAGAGCATAAGAGTGCTACAACTTCTCCAAGAAGGAATGGTATCGTGCCACCGTCCGAGCAGCAAACAAAGTCATCAAGACGACGATCATCAGGCAACGGTGAAGTAGAGAACAAGCAACACAAACAAACGAGGAAGGCTTCCAGAAACACAAATAGGGAGGTCCAGAATCAGGCTGATGGTGCGTCCAAATCAACATCAAAGAAGCGTTTCCAAGGATGAAGTTGATAACAAAGTCGAAGATGCTCATAAGAAATCAGGGCGGCGAAAGAAATCAAAAGAATTGGTTGGGGCGAGTTCCAAATCCAAGTCGAAAAGCAACAACGTCGGGGATCGGAGATGTTCATAATGTCGTTGATGGCTTTAAGAGCGAGGTGTTGTCAGAGAAACAGAGTCATATATCGAATTCAATAGTATAAGAAGAGCGCGGCAATATATTCCCTTGAAGACGTTTCACAAAGCTCAGCTTTGCATGTTATATGGGAAACATCCTTTTTTTCTTTCACTGTATTGTAGCTAACTTGTGCGCTAGATTGCTGTTAATACGTATCTCTTATTCTAAGAATAGCAACACCAACACGTACACTATCTTTCTTCTCTTTTTTTTTTTATAGAAGACCAAGATCATTTTATTCAACTGGTGGTGATAATGAATTTATCATCTTTTCTTAAATGTGAGGATAAAAATGGTGGCCTTTCTACTCAAATATCATCTTCCCTTCCCAAATTACAATTTGTGGGTCAAGAGGTGAGCCCGTCTATTAAAATTTTCTTTTTTTTTTATAATGGCGAAATAGTTTATTTAAGTTTCAAAAACAAAAAACAGAGCAAAAGTCAAACAAACACACTAACTACAGCAAAGGGGAAGCCTAGCTGAACGGGTTCCAACATACAGACTGCCCAGCGAGTAGTTCCCCCAAAAGCGCAAAACAAAATTCAAACAATTATAAAATCTAACAGACACCAAGCTCAAGGAGAGTTAAGCACCACTCAAAGTCAAAGCGGCATCAGTACAACAACCGAGCGAGACCCTCTTGCAACCGGCCTCAAATTTATCAAGATTCTCCAATGCTTTAGTGCTGCAATGCAACACCTGTTCTTGGCACCAGCTGCGTTTTAGATTCCTCGGCCATTCTTCAGCAATGACTCTATCCACCTTCTTGTTGGCACATAACCAGGTCCGAAATGTCTCGTCCAATTCTAACACAAACCACGATGACTGACTCCTCTGTATCTCTGAAAACTATAGGGTTAATACCACTAGGAAACCCGAACTATTAACTTTGTGTCATTTGTGTCCTAAAGTATTCGATATGACATTTGTGTCCTGACGTATGATAGTTGTGTGTCATTTACGTCCTGACAATTTCGTTGACCGTTATAGATAACGGTTGACCAAACGGTCAACCATAAAATGTTGACTGTTAATTACATGGCACATATGTGGCAGCCACGTAAGCGCCACGTCTGCTGCCACATCAGGTTGTTATTTTCAAATAAAAATTAACAATTAAAATACAAATAAAAAGTTTTAACAATTAAAATTATTTTCAGCCACATATCCTCATGATATCTTCATCCCGTCAATTTGCCCCTTCCATTTCCGCTTCTAGCCTGATTTCGAGCGACGGAGAAGATTGCGGAGAAGGCGACCGGCTCGGTGGTTCCTCTGTCAATCGAAGAAGCAGCTGGTGGGTGGGTCCTCTGTCAATCGAAGAAGCAGCTGCAGTTAGTTCAGAATTCGCCGTCGCCGACCATATCTCTTCCTCCCAATTGCAAGCAAATCTGCCCTTTCCTGCTTTCCGAAGTGAAATTGAACGAGAGGCAAAAGCAAATCCTCCCAAATGAAAGCAAATCTGCCTTTTCTGCTTAGCCCAAACTGAAAGCAACTTCCGGGGAAGAAAGCATGGTGAGATAGGGAGAGCTGATTGGGGAAACCCTTTTGATTACCGCCGGTCATAACAAATGAGGTGGTCAGGGAGCCAGTTGACTGAGATGCGGGTGGGAGGTTTGCGGCGACTCAAGCCTGGAGGCGGGGGCAGTGTAGGAGAGAGAGAGAACGAAACCGGCGGCGGTGGGGGAAAGATCTGCCTCCAACTCTACCGGAAGCTCTCCAGCAACCGCACCGCTCCCACCACTTCGGACTCTCTAGATTGAAGACGGGGAGATCGCTGAGTGTGCCGCCGGAGAGGACAACGGATCCATCCTGGAGGAGGCGGAGAGCGTCGCGACCGGCGGCTACGAAGACTCCGGAGCAGCTGTCGATCGCTCACCGGTGAGTAAGATCTTGGATTCGGATACGTCGCTAGAGGCCGTGGGGGCGGATAAGGCGAGCGTGTCGGAGTTAGGGTTTGACAGGGCGAGCATGGAAAGCGGGCGAGATTTGGGTGGGAAAAAAGGCGGATCCAGAAGGGATTGGTGGTGGAAACAGGATAGCGGAGTGGAATCGGAATCAGGGAGGGTGGAGAAGGATTACGTAATGTAGTGGATTGGAGCGGAGGTGAGGAGGCAGCGAAGGGGAGAGCTGACCAGAGTTCCTGGAGGCTCGGGAAGAAGAGGAGAGGACTTATCGCAGAGGAGGAGGATTTTTGTGGTGGCAGAGGCGGTGGCTTTCAATTTCTCAATTATGTTCATTTTAATTATTTTTTTAAGCAATAGGAAAAATAAATAAATAATAATAAAAGTTCCACGCCAGATGCCACATAAGCGCTGACTAGACTTTCTGTTAAAAACTAACGGTCAACTCTAACGAAAAAATAGTTTAGGACACAAATGTCATATCGAATACTTTAGGACACAAATGACACAAAGTTAATAGTTCGGGTTTCCCAGTGGTATTAGCCCAAAACTCTATTGTTTCTATCCAGCTTGAAACAATATTATGTTGATCTCGGCTTGAAACATGCGAGCCAATTCCTTGAGTGAGAGTTGAGCTCATTCCCTGGTTGAGAGTTTCAATTATCTCATTCTCACAACCGGGCTCTGATACCACTATAATAAATCAAGATAATTAAGGAGGATTGAGTGGGATTGAGAGGAGAAATTAGGGTTAGGGATTGAGGATTGAAGAAGAATTGGGAAAGAATAGAGAGAAGAAGAGATTCTTTTTTAATAATCCTAAAGGAATTCTCGCGTCCATATTTATAGAAACTAGACCCGAAATCCTAATATTAACCCTAATTCCTACTCGACACCACTTTGTCGCCCAACCTTACCAAAACTAAAAATAATTATTATTATATTTGTACTACCATCCCAAGTATAAATGTTACTTTGGCATTTTTATGCAATAAAAGCATTTATGTTTGGGGGAAAATCAATCATAATAGTACAACTATTTTATACAAAAATATATAAAAAATATAAGAGGAGAAGAGTAGCGTTTTGCAGAAAGAAGCAGAAGTAATACAATGCATAATGTGTTGACTTTTGATTTAAGAAGTTTTTGTAACTAACTTAGTCAATTGAATGTTGCACTTACAATAACTAACACGTATGTGTTTTATCGCCTCCGTCCCTTTGTCTCCGTATGCTTCTATTTGGTCAAAAACATGTTTGTTGTTAATTTTTTTATGAATTGTGTGTTAATTAATTGGAAAGAAAAAGAAGACAGAAAAAGAGAAATATATCACTATTCTGTATTTTGTTGACATCCTAATTAGCCATCAGCTCACAGATTATCCATTCCAACTCTCACCTACAAGACAAAGTTGGGAAATTAATAGAAGCGTAAAAGAATATTAGTTCGGAAAGCTTTTGTTTTAATCTATACAATGGTTATGATAGAAATTCATTAATTTTATATGACGGTTTACTTTCTTACCAAGAACTTGTGATTTTCTCTAAGAAAAGGTGAAAATCTTGTGCAGAACTCCTTCATTTGTATATTAAGATCCTCATTCCCTCTTCCTATTACCTCCACAAATTTTTTCCTATCTGGTGCTAGCTTCATGACTACCTGTACAAATATAGGCAAAACTAAGATAACAGGCTTAATATATGTAAGTGAATGTAATTATATAAATGAAGACATAAGTTTTTTTATTATTATTTTTCTTTACCATGAAACTTGAACTAGCAAGCCAGTTATGCCATTTCTTTAAGGTCTTTGAATATGCAGAGGAGCAAACTTGTGACATTCCCCATTCAGGATGATCCAACATATTTTGAAACACCGCTATTAAGAAGTCCATTGCCCTATAAGAAAGTATGCATCCAAAAAAAATTCATAGATAAAGATCATTGAGCTTTTTACGTGAATAAAATATATCTTATGTCTCACTAGTTAGATACACGAATTATTTTTTCCCAGTGACAAGCAATCTTTCACTAGAGTTGATTGGACGTGCTTCAAAAAATTAATGTGTATGTGACGTTGATTAGTAGTAAATATCATATGTTTACCTTGTCAACCAAAGTAGAGCGTTAGTACAACTCGAGGAAGATTTTGCTGTTTTGGCTTCAATCTCCGGCTGTACAACACTATGGAGGAAGTTGAACTTGGTTGGGTTGGACTCATACACAATACTCAACCTCTGGATCAGTAAACCATTAAAAAAATAGTTGAGAACAAATTTAGCAATAATTATTTGTGTCATTATATCACCAAAAGGTGCATAAATTATCTATGTCTATGTGCATAGATAAACAATAAAAGATGACATTCATCTCCAACACTTACATTTATATTTCCACCCACATCGGATTTTACTGGCGATAATGATGTTCCAAACTTGTCTGAAAAATGAAGAATTGGAAAGAAGAACGAGATCATAAACAATAATGGATCATAACGAAAACAATGTAACTCATAAAAAACTTATTTATCCAACTTCCAACTTCTCCATTTTATGACCACTAATTTGAACAACCAAATTTTCTAATATGGGTGCTTGAATGGGGAAATGATTACTTGACATCTATTATGAAGGCATGACTACTTAACTAGTAGATCACATTGACAATTTTGACATCAATGTTTAGTTTCTTTCAATGTCTTAAAGAAGTGAAAGATGGACAAACAAGGAAGATATATCACTAAAAAAACTTTGAAATACTTAATTCTCCCATACTTAAACCCTTTTAAGAGACCAAACATGTTCCATTATATCTTTTCTGAAATTCATGTGTAGATACACGATGAATATGTTTTTTAACTTCGTTTCACATGAGAAATGAAGCCATGTAGCTCGATGATTGATCATGTATATGTTCAACTCATATGATTTTTCATTCATATGGATTATGCCTAATTACATCAACTATTTTTTCTATCAATGACACATATAACAGAATGCATGACATTTGGTTTCCTTTATGAGCATAAATTCTTCCATTTAATTTAGATCTATTGATTGTTTTCCTTCAATAATAGACAAAACAAGAAAGATAGTTCAATTTAACTGAAGTCTGCATGCTACCATTTTCCTCTTTTCAAATTGTGTGTGGAAACATCTCATAGAGTTTGTCGTGTCTTTGACTTGTATTATAATATTCCATATGCATTCATCTGTACATAGGATGTTAATTATGATTTCTTCTGCCAACGACTTCTCAACTCTCTATTGATGAGGAAAATTAGGTCCACAACATGAACTCTTGTCTATAAAAGGCCGCCTATGGAGGGAGGGATATATATAACAAGCTAATTTTCTCTTCTAGGTATCTATTGTATTTCTTGTATATGAGAGTATGAACTATGAACTAAAAGTAGTATTACTCATTCTCTTCTACTTCGTATTTTCGATGGTTTGTTGTTTCTTCCCATCTTCGAGATGATTGTTTTTAACATTATAATATATATTTCACTAATTATAATGTGAAGTGTTGCAGCTTTACTTGTACCAAACTATAACCTTGAAAAGAGTTACTAGTCTCTATGAAAAAAATCATTAAATAATGATGATTGGTGACTGCAAAGTTTGGGTATAGGTGAAAATATGTTATTATTCTCATATTGTTACTGGAGAAATACATTAAGGTTTAAAAGTGAAAGAGATAGACAAGAAGGCAAAAAGACATGAATAGCTGAGAGTTCTTTTTTTAGGAACAACATTTGATTGTTACCTAGGACGGGAAGAATCATTTTGCACAAGTCCAAGAAAGGCTTGGTGAGAATTTCTCCCTGTTGAGACCTAACCTGCTTCATTGCTTCCAAAATGGGTGTAAATGCAGTTTCATGATCAGTTCCTTCTATCCTGGGAGTAGTACTATAGAAGCAACAATAATGTAATCTCATAGTTAGATTTTTTCTGTTTTATTTTTCTCTATTAGTTCGTCACATATAAAAAATTCAAACAATTATTACAATTCCGAAAGAAAAACCCTATTATCTTTTTCTCGAATTATAAAATGTATTAACAAGAGATTAGAGATACATAACTTCTTTCTTATAAACTAGGTTACATAATTTTAGTGACAAGAAAAAACTTACTCGCTCATTCCTGCAAGTCCTTTGAGCATGATTAGTGAATCAGTCAATCTAGCCCAAAGAATTAGGTGGAAGTTCCTGAGCATTTGAAACAACGTATAATATGATCTGAGGATACAGATAATTAAATAGGGTTTTAAAGCAATGATCGTGAAAAGGATTATTGGTAATTATAAGAATGACATGAATAATTTAAAAGAGAAATGGATGGAAGAATTCCTAAATCAAATGCGGCATGTATCGATCGGTATCTGTACATAATGGAGAACTACTGATGCGAAGAGAAAAATGATTCGAAAAGGGAATTAATACCTGGAGAAGAAGGGAAGCAAAAAAGGGGAAATTATAGGGATTCATTTGGAGATTAACACGTTATAGACACTATGTGATTGGATGGAGAGAAAGGGGCAAAATCTATAAATTTCATTGGATTTATGGTTTTACATTTTGGGGAATTATAATAATAATTTTCATGAAGTTATCTTTTAATCTTACTTAATTGTGGCACCAAATTTTCATTTTGGTTTAATAAACCATCTCCATAATTTTCACTTATCAAAGACTTAAGATCAAGACTACGGCATGCGAACTAATACCTCTAGTTATAGTTGGGTCAGGGGTGGGCAACGATTCAGTCCATATTGCACCAAATAGATATTTGGATAAAATGTATTTTGATTATATTTCAATCCTATAAAATATTTTAAATATGAAGGAAAAGTGGTCTGAAGTCAAATTTGGAATGGACCGAATCAAACCAATGAACCACGAATGCTTTTTATTCAATTCTAATCCTCATTTCCCATTTTTTTTATTTCAATCCTATCCTAATTTGATCTGATTCTAAGCTGAGTCGACTGATAGCCAACACTATGTGTACTACAAACACAAAAGTGATGTAACACTACAACTCATTGCCATTGATCTGCGTAATGGTCCATTCTAGTAATGGATTGAGTCAAATTCATAAAAAAAAAAGTAATGGATTGAGTCAACCGATACCCAACACTATGTACTTCACCAAAACAAAAAGTGATGTAACGATACAATCAATCTCTATTGGTTGACATAATGGTGCATGTGGTGGTGGTTGGTTTACTGAAAACTAAGCTCAAAATCAATAAACTTGTACCGGGTTAGTTTAAACCCTTTCCATTCCACCATATGAAATTAATTTTTTTCTTTTTCTTTTAGGTAAATCATATACTGCTTTTGTGCTTCACATTTTCCCCCCTTCTTATTAGCTCCTTTTTTATTTTATTTTTATAAAAAAGAACTATAGTTCCACTCGACCTCCCTCTTTGTTGAAGATTGGGGGTAACCATTGAGTAGTTAAACCCACAAACCTGTCTAGATCCAACCACAATCGACCTTTATTGGGTAATATGATGGTTCTCATTTGTGTGTTGCACGTCTCAAATTTCAAGTGCAACTCATAATTTGTTAGTCATCTTATAGTTATTCTTCTGTAATATGAATCTTTACCAATGATTTATATGTCATTAGTGACTTACACTTCATGAGGCTGATTGGGACATGAATTTGTTTTGATCATCTTTAACATTTGCGATTATGTAATGAGCATCATCCAGTAGTTTAAGCATATCAACATACAATAATTTGACATTCATGACTTGGTCATCAATCTTTTGAGAAGTTTTTCATTTTAGCACCCTTCCTTAACAATATTATTGTTCAAAACAAAGATCTTTGTGATTATTGTCCTCGAGCAAACAAAACTAGATACTTTTTATGTCGGTCACATTCGAACCACTTCTTGCTTTGAGTTGATTCATGTTGATATTTGGGGAAGTTATAGATAAGCTTCATTTAGTGTGAAAAATATTTTCCCACCATTGTGGATGATTATAGTGGGTATATTTGGGTTATCCTATTAAAATATAAGTCGAATGCCTCTTTCTTCAAGTTTGCAAATAAGTTTTCACACAATAATAATCTTAAGGTTTTAAAAATTCGAGCCAACAGTGGACCAGAGTTCAATAATACTGTACTATGAGATTATTATGCAAAGAGCGGAATGATTCTCCAAACATGTTGCACTGATACTCCCCATCAAAATGGAGTAGTTGAAAGAAAACATAGACAACTGCTCGATACAGCTAGAACACTCATATTTCACGTTGGACTTCCCTCTCATTTTCTCACAGAATGTAGTTTTAAATGTTTCCTGTCTCATTGATTGCATGCCTATTACTTCATTGAAGAATCAGACTACATATAAAATATTATTGGGAAAGTTGTCTCCATACTCTCATCTTCACGAATTCTTATCAGGGGGCTTAATTAAAAATTGACACCCAATTAGTGTGTTAAAATTCATATTATTGTTTCTCGTAATTGAAGTCTCACCCATTTAAAAACGCTTGCAATTTCAAACTGAACTTTACATTTATAAAAGCAAATCAATTAAAGCGCCTAAAGTCATTTCTAAGCCATATTAATTTTTCTGAATCCAAACATCTTAATTAGTTCTTCTTTTGCACTTTGGAGCATAAAACCTCTTCGACTAACCCCCCCCCCCCCCCAAATTCCTGTTACAGTTTATCAAGAGTGAAAACATCTCAATTTATGTGTGCAATACTTCCTTCCTTGGCTTCTTCTCTCGCCAACAGTCACATTGTTGAGAGGTCCATTTCAACAATTAAATTCGTAAAAAACGATTATAGAAATCATATGTGATACCAATTTATGAATGATTGCTTGGTAACATTTATTTAAAAAGGTTTGAGTTGCAACATAAGTGACGAATATACTTTATAAACTTCTTAGAATATGAAAATATGTTGTAGTTTACTATGAAACAATCAATATGTATACTTTATGAGGGAAATTTTATTATTTATAGGTTTATTTTTATTTTTCATTAAATGACCTTGGTGATATTTTTAGGTCCGCCACTGATTCAGGTGCCTTGTTTATGCCAAGGATAACCATCACAATTTGCACAAATTTGAAGTACAAGGTTGTGCAGGTATGTTTATGGGTATCATGCCATGCAATATGCCAATTGGATTCATGACCTTACCAACGAAGTCATATACACATAACACATCATGCGATGTTACATTCTTGGATTGTTTTTCGTTTCGAGCTCTACTCTCTAAACATGTACCACAATCAGAATCCACTTCATGGTTCAACATGGGAAATGATGTCTCTCATGTGGAGTATAATATTCTTTATTTTATTCATTTCTAATATCTAAGTGACATCATGGATAACAGCCCTTCTCCTTCACCAGTCTCATAGTATGACATCACACCAGACAATAGTGATTTCTCACCAGCTTCCTATGATTCACTGGTAGGGCCCACTTCTTTAGCACCTATGTTATCATACTAGTCCCTATCCAACTCATTTGCTCAAGATGGCTCTGATAGCTCTATCACTGTAAATCTTCATTTCTTCCTCTTTGTGAAAGTAATTAACAAGGTAATCTCCCTTGCGATGTCACTCTACCTAGCTCATTTCCCCGTCGACATCCACTTGAAAAGCATGCACTTATCATCTCTTGTCTCATAGTCATAAGTCTTATCTTGCAATATCATTAAGTTTGGTATAAACCATTGAAGGACACTATGAAAACTCATATCTCAGTCTTGGAAGCTAATGATTCGTGGAGTTTAGTTGATTTTCCACTTGACAAATGTAAGAGTGATTCTGTGTGGTTTTATAAGATCAAATATATCCTCATATAAAAGGCACTGATCATCACAATACTTTTGATCCTCTTACAAAGTTAGTTACTATTGGATGCCTCCTTTTAGTTGCAATCTTGCAGACACTCGTGAGTGGTTATTACACCAAATTGATGTCAATAGTGCTTTTTTCATTGTGACTTACATAAAAAAAATTTACATGAAGATTTTGCAAGGTTTTTTTGTAGAAAGGTGATACTTGTATTTGCTCTCTTCATAAGTCGATTTATGGGCTCAAATAGGTTTGTCCCAACTAGTATATAAGATTCTCCCATATTTTGGTGTATTTGTGGTATGTTATAATTGAGCGGATCATTCTTTGTTCATTTACAATTTTGGATCCTCTTTTTCTGCCTCCTTAATTTATGCTGATGAAGTTGTGTTAGCAAGCAGCAACCTTCCTTTCATTCAGAGTTTTAAAGTTTTCCTACATAACCGCTTCACCATCAAGGATCTGTGGTCACTGAAATATCTCTTGGAAATTGATGTCGTCAGTCACCCAATGGTCTAGTTCTCAATCAACACAAGTATGTCTTATACATTTTTATTGACTCTAGGTTTCAAGGTATTTGCCCCTGCTCCACCCGAGTTACGCAGAATCATCAACTTGGTTGTTTACATTCTCCTCGTGTTGAATATCCTTCAGCATTCTACTATTTAGTGGGTCTTTTGTTATCTCACAGTCACAAGTCCCTACATTAATTACTCTATCAACTTAATTAGTTAGGTAGTTTATGCATCCACATAGGCACAATTGGATGCAACTCATCAAATTTTACTGTATCTTATACAGACCCCATGTGTGGTTTGTTATGTGCTGCTAATAGTTTTTTCAAGCTTATGGTGTACTATGATGTTGGTTGAGATGGGTGTTCTACCACTTCTCAATCTACACATCAATTTTGCCACAATAATATATAGGCAAAATACAGCTGTATATCCACAACTATCAAGTTTGTGACAAATATATCCATAACTATCGAAATACACGAAATATCCAAAAATCGGAAGGTTGTGTGACAAATATATCCACTTCTGTCTGAAACTATAACGGCGTGTCAGACGGCGTTAAATTGACTAACGGAATGTTGAATCGATGCCATCTCACCTGCCACATAAGCCAAAAAGCAACCAAACTTTACACCTAGATGCCAAATAGGCTAGTTGAATAAAGGCAAAATACAGTTGTATATCCACAACTATCAGGTTTGTGACAAATATGTCCACCACTATCAGGTTTGTGACAAATATATCCACAACTATCGAAATACACAAAATATCCATTTCCGTCCACTCCATTAACTCCGTCAGTTAACTTGATGACTGGACAGACGGTGGATGCTTAGTTGGCATGTTTCTGGTCCCACTGAATGACGTGGATTAAAAGAGAAAAAAATATAAAAACCCTAAAACCCACAGACGGCGAGGCTAAAAATCCAAACCAGAAACATGTCCGATAACCACTGATCCTCCTCCGATCGACGCCTCCACCCCAAATAACCCTACCCCAAGCCCAGATTTCGATTCCAACCACAATCCCCAGCCATTGCCTCCCTTTTAATCTCACAGCTTCCATGCAGTCGGCGCCATGGTGATGCCAAGCTTGAATCTCAAACAAAAAAAAGCTTGAATCTAACCAAATCGCCAACAGATAAGACTGCAGCAGCGAGGTCTAACAGATAACGGTGTAAAGTTTGGTTGCTTTTTGGCTTATGTGGCATTTGAGATGGCATCGATTTAGCATTCCATTAGTCATCTTAACGTCGTCTGACACGTCGTTATAGGTTTAGACGAAAGTGGATAGATTTGTCACACAACCTTCCGATTTTTGGATATTTCGTGTATATCGATAGTTGTGGATATATTTGTCACAAACCTGACAGTTGTGGACATACAACTGTATTTTGCCTAATTTTTTTCCTCTTTTAATCCACGTCATTTAGTGGGGTCAGAAACACGCCAACTAAGCATCCACCGTCTGTCCAGTCATCAAGTTAACTGACGGAGTTAACGGAGTGGACGGAAATGGATATTTCGTGTATTTCGATAGTTGTGGATATATTTGTCACAAACCTGATAGTTGTGGATATACAGCTGTATTTTGCCTAATATATAATAAAAGAGTACGAGAGCTTCAAACTTTCTGTGGAGTAGCCTCATTCATAATCAAATGAGGGAACCACATAAAATTATTATCATGTGCTTGTTTCAGCTACCTCATATTCCTTTTGTTCAACCATTTTTATTTTTTATGCACGTTTATAGAATTCTTATTATGTCATGTCCCACAGGGGTTTATTTTTTGATTTGCCCAAATCTTGAATAGTCCAATGAGCTTGTCTTTAATCTGAAGGCAATCACAAAATGTTGATTGGAAGTGTAAGGAAAACGCAATATCAAGAGAGAGCACTGAAAGGTTCACACATGATGACAACATGCGAAGATGATACAAGAGCTTCAAGATTGCTATAGACATGACATGGGCCAAAGCATGAGCTTCAAGAAAGTTTTGTCTAGGAGGCTAGACATGGATTTGAGTCGGATGTTTGGTTTAATAGTGTGATTGAATTTCATACACACCTTGTTCATGCTCCATTGGATCAAGCAACATGATTATTTTTAACAAGAAACTACGAGTATTATGTATACGTCACAAAAGAGATAATAGTTAGTGGTTAAGAGTTGGCCAAATTCTAGAGGAATATTCCAAGAGGCTACTATTGCCTTGATAATGATACCTAACATTGGTTGAGCCCTTAGTTTTGACCACCAAAAAGAATTAGGAATAGAGCAGCAAATTTGTCAAGATTTTTTGTTCTAATTTGATACAACATGTATTTACTTTGTTTAGGTTACAACAACAGGGAAAATGACATATATACTGGAAAAAGTGAAACATAGTTGAGTGGAAATAAAATGAAATAGCTCCATCCAATAGATGGAAATGACACTCCCCCTTATACCTAAAAGCTTTTTATGAGGAATCCTCCAAATCCAAAGCAAACACCATGATACTATTTGTAACATTTGGTGGAGTACCCAATCTTCACTTCCTTGCCTTCCAAAGTTTTAGCTAGTGCTCTGCAGTAATATTCCATCTTTTATCACTTCTTGGCCTATCAAATATAAGTATCAATTCTAGTTTAACTATTTTATATGTACTTGCAAGTGAGTGAATAGAATAATGTGTGTCCGACCTAAGACTAGTGGTTTGTTTGGCCTACCAAATATAAAAAACAATTCTACCAAATATAGGCACCAATTCTAGAATGAATCTTCTATCAAAATCTCATAATATGTACGACTTAAAGGGCTATATGGAATCACTTAGACGAGCATCATGAAAAATAAGATAACTAAAAGCATTTGATGGCATACCTGGCTCAAGTACTTTTTGTGTATCTTCAAGGCCTCTTGACATACCTTCTTAGCATCCAAATTTCCTGTAGCATCGCCCAATATCTACAAACAAAAAATTAAAGATAAAATGAAGATGCATCTACACAAATGCATATGCTTTTCTACTCCTCACTTTTCCTTCTTTTTATTTTGGCTGACAAGGTGGGCATCAACTAAGACATTTAAAGAGAGATGGAGGCAAAAAGGATAACCTGGACAACATCATCCAGCCCTTTAGCTTCTTTCAAGATCTTCTTGTTCTTAGCCTCGAGAATGCTTGCCACTAGAAAGATAGAAAGTGCGCTATGTTGGTCTGTAATGCCAGTCTGCACATACTTCCTTTCAAACTTGCCATATTGTTGTAGTTGTTGCTTGTTATTTGATGCAGGTGCTGCTACCTCTTTCTCCTCTTCTTCATCAGCCTCTTTGGACTCTTCATACATGGTAAAGATATTTGGGTTGTACTCCATAGCCCACATCAGCTGAAACCAATCTATCCATAAATAAGCTTGACTAGGTAAAAACAAAATGAAAATGACTAGTTATATAAATATGAATAGACTTTTGAACACCAAATCTATCCATAAATATGAATAGCCCACATCATCTTGAACACCCATTCTGTCTTGGTCATATGATTTTATGTATTATTTAAAATTTAAACTTCATAGGATGATGCAACACAAAATTCAGGGCTTTTCTTACCTCCCAAAGATACAACGAGTCTACGAAGGAAAATTCCCTCCGGAAGAGCACCATCAGCATTCGAAACGCAAACAAATATTCACCTCCATCTAAATCTTCTGCAAATATCCAATCAGAAAAAAGATTTACTATGATAATAAGATCTCACGTCCAGTTTGTGCGTTAATGTTGTAGAAAAAATACTGTTGTGCTGATCACAACATTCATCCATTCATGTGGGTGTCAAGCCACTATTTATGCCTCTTGTAATAACAGAATATATTATCTTCACTATATAGGATATTTACTTGGGGGTATATGTGACAAAAAATGGGTTGATAATCACGATACAACAAAAGGCGTAAGATAATTGACATGGTAAGGGGAAAGAAGAAATACCTAGGTGTTGGTGAAGCTTTGGATCAACGGTTTTGATTACTTGAGAGAGTGTACTTAACTGAGTTTGTACTCCAATGGAAGTAGTGCTCGTCCTAAAGTTTTCCCTCTGTGGCAAAAGAAAAGGAATAGATCAACCAAATGCAAAAAAATATCTAGTGATGCTAGCGGACGGTAGAGCTGGAGATCCATAAGCATGATGGATATTGAACATCTTAATATGCCAAAGTAAAACAAGAAATATCGCCCCTAATCATCAACAAATAATAGAGACAACTCTACTTGAGAACTCTATAGGTACCTTTCAGACATTTAACCATTAACCAACATGCTATTTTTTATTAAGACATTTCAATTATTTGAGGGGGAGGGGGGGGAGAACCACAGTAGTATCATCACGTAAAAGGAAAGTACAAATACATTATTATAAATATGAGTTAATCATTCATAAATTAATATTTGAGGTTATAGTTTGTCAATAAATTTTTGGATAGAAGTGCATACCAATCTTCGCATTGCATGCTCAAAACACCAGTAGGCATCCGCATCATTTTCAAGAAGAATTACCATTGGAGAGCAAATATCATTCATACCTGCTCAAGCAACGACTTCAAATGACCACAAAAAATTAAAAGAAAAACTATACCAGCTTTATAGGTTTATCGTAAGTCTACTGACCTTGCATGTAACCAATGTCCATATCAACCCAAGAATACACTGCTAGTATATCCCAAAGCTTGGCGGAATTAACTTCATTCTGATAAAACTCAAGTGATTGATCTGTGCGAACAACATCCAAACCTACAATTTCACAAACTATATCATTTGCCCTGAAAATCGTGAAGTGACCACATAATTACTTAAAAATTAGAATGACCAACATGAGCATGAAGTCAAAATGAGAAGAAAGGATGGTATTCACAAAAGTGAAGCAAATTACTAGATCAAGCCTAAGGAAAGACTAAATTAAACTAGGAAATATGTGTGCCATCAAGAACCAACAATTCTCATTAGATTATCCTATGCTTCTTTATCAATTTCTATTCTCATGTCTTTTTTCTTTAAAGTCTTTTTTCATATGTTTTTCATTGAGTTCTGGCAACTACATCCGAATTAGAATTTCCAGCTATCTGAATGTGAATTTTAATTCAATCTCACATAAATAAATTACTATAAGTATCAAAAGAAAAAAAAATCAAAATGAGCTAAATACCATCCTCTTGATTATCATAATATAATAGATTATTAAAGTCAAAATATTGTTGTAAAATCATAACCGGTTATAAACTGTCTTCTAGCAGCTTTGTGAATCCATGAACAAATTTTAGGAGTTAATGCTCATCCATTTAGATTTGTCATTAGAAAACCCTATTTGATTCTCTTCCCATGGAGTTCTTTGACAGCCTGTTTGGATAGACAAAAAACTCAGGAATTGGAATTCCATTTTCAATTCCAGTTCCATATTTTATGTTTGGAAGGATAAGAAGGTTGAGAAATGAATTCCATTTGGGCTAAGTTTTGGGAATTACAATTCCTATCAAAAGTGATAGGAATTGTGTTTATGAATATGGAATTAGTGGGTCCCATCACTATTTATTATTATTTTATTAACCAACTATCACACTACTCTCTTTCTCTATCATTCATATTTCATTTCCCAAGATAAAATAAATATATTATATTATTAATTATTGTTAAAAGTGCAATTCATTTCTTTAGTTGGAGGAATTATACCAAACACTAAAATTGGAAATGGAATTCTATAAAAATAGGAATTGGAAATAGAATTCCATTTCCATTTCTTCTTGAATTGTATCCAAACAGGCTGTGAGTGATAGATTCTTCCAGATAAAGAAAATTATATATTTAACTGGAGACGATAGGGTACAAAATCCAGAACTATAAAACCACCAAATTGTGTGTCTTACCATCCCTAATACGAATCTTACACCCTAATACAATCATATTAAGGGATAGTATGATTCATATCGGGTATGGTAAGCCACGAGTTTTGTAGATTTTGTAGCTCTGAATTTTGTACTATAACACATGTCATATATAAAGTCATTTAAGCAATACAAGAAACCTTAAAAATTGAATCAATCAAATAAAAAATAGTGAGATCTAGAAGCAATATCGTACCAATTTGATGCAGAGTTAGCATCCATTGAAGAACTTTCTTATCAATAACAACATCACTTGCATGCCATCCCTCATCAGAGTCAGTTATTGGATGCCCATCGTCCCCAATAACCGGAGTTTTGATAAAACTTCCACTACCTATTATTGGACACATCTCTTTGCATTCTGCTTTCCAATTGTTATATTGCTCCCTAAGAAGTTAATGTCATAAATTAAGATACACCTAAAATGTGAAACTAGAAACTACGAGCCTTCCGAATTGGAAGCATACAATAAAACAAGTGAAATTGTATATCATAGTTGGCATGATCTAAAAATGGAAATAATATCACAACAACATGTTGGTCAATCTTGGTAAAAAAAAAAAAAACATGTTGATCAAACAAATGAGAGGTCATGGAAAATTGCATTAGTAGACTACCGTAATAGTTTACGGATGCTCATATAATTCTGTTTCGAAAAGTCAATAACCTAAATGACACATTTTCCTATTCTTAGGTAATCACTCCCAACCAGTTTGACGCAATTAAACTCGACATCATAAATAGTACGATAAAAGATGACAATATTTGAATTAACTATATGCATTCATTTTCAAGACATAAGAACATATTTAACAAAATAATTGTAGAAATATATGGTGTCACTTTGATGAGAAAAATATACAAAATATCATGGCGCTACCTTCTGCGTTGCCTAATTTCATTCCGATCCTCAAATGTGCTGTTAGGATCAAAGCATCCCAACAAAAATTCCCACACTAACCCTTTGATGGCAGGATGAACACCCTAACATTAAAACACAAATTTTAGTAAAATCACAAACAATTTCTGTGTAAAGGAGTTGGGCATAAAACTGAAGAACACCCATTTAATTTAACAACATCAATTGCATAAGAGGCTTTCTTTGCAAATTTTTCAAATGGGTGGCATGGACAACAAAAGAGAGAAAAAGAACCATACCCCTCGTTGTATCCTTCTAAGGACCTTGGCAATATCCAGATGACCATCTTCAGAAAATGCAGCATGCCATCTTCTTGCGCTAAGGGTTTTCCCAGCCTGCATTTAGAAAACAGAAAAAGAGACGAAGGATCCAACCCATCATCCAGAATCCATTTAGCAAAGAGGATGAAGAACATATAATTTTCACATCCAGCCCATCATCACCCATAACAAGAAACCCAGGAAACAAAAGAGGAAGGCATGTTTGAAGACTTGGTGTTATTATTATCCCCAAGAATAAGAACAAGAGGTGGTGTAAGGCAGGGTAGGACAAGATAGACATACGCGAGGCCTAAAACGGGTCTTGGGAACATCAGCTTGGCATTCAGGCCTAATCGGATAAAAATCTCCGATCTCAGCATCTCCAGTTGGTATGCCGCAGAGAACCATTCAACCTAGTAGAAAAATTAAATCTGCAACAAGCATATGTCGTCAAATCAAGACAAAAAGCATATCAAAATGTCAACGAGAAATTATTCAATTCCTTACATTATTTACCTTAATAGGAAGTTTAAAGCCCCCACTAAATGATAAAATAAAATTGCGGGATCCGAAAAACAACAAGGAAGTCCAACTATGTTGAGAAGATGAACATCATTGTTGTTGCAACCTATTTTGAATTGAAATTTCTTCCTTCTTTTCTCTTTTCTTTTTGTTTTTTGTTTGGTGATAAAGAAAGAGAAAGGGGGACAGAATGAGAAAGAGACACTTCTAGATACGTAGTGCAAAATTGTTGTAGAAAACTAATGATGAATGGATCTCCGTCATGGGAGAAAAAAAAAATGGTAGAGGAGGAAAACATCCCACTAATCTATCCCCATTATTAGCCTAATAACTTCTTCTTTTCACATGCCAATTTATTTCTACTCCTTAATCCATATAATTATTTTGATATGCGGCTGAATGAAAAATTAACCTTGTCTAATCACTTATTATCTAAGGAATTATAACTAATCTTATGCCCAATCATAAGATTTTTGGCACATAATAAAACCTACTACCGCCTTTGGATGAGATAACACCAATCTTATGATCAACATTAGTTATAGCTTACAAAAGGTAACTTCCCCTTACCAAGCGTCAACCAGATGGGAATTATAGACCACCAACCTAGAGAGGATCGAAGAGTGCAATAAGTAAACACTAGAAATCTACGATCAAAGTCTAAGAAATGAAAATACAATAAGATGGCAGGACTTAGATTTGAAGATGAAAAACAATTAAAATACTTTTGGCGGCAACGTCAAATCAAGATCTCTTTTGAGTGAGGCTGATGTAATGCAAAGAATATAATGATGATGTGTTTTCGTAAGAATACTTGTTTTGACATAATTGAATACAATTTCACTTCTTGGAACAACGGTTACTAAACACGGTTCACTACTCTTTGAAGACAGTTCAAACACGGATATTCACCATTTTTTATGGTTTAAAATACAAATTACATTGAGTTAACCTACTCATATAGAGGTTCACTGAGAGCTCAAATATTGCTAAATTTGAATATAAAACTATAAAAGTTGGCAAATTGTGTGAATTTGTGATTTTTGTGAACTCTTGTTTTGTCATCTTCACATTCTATTTATATTCGTAAGGAGTAACCATCTTAAAGAAGATTTTTGGCTAAGGTGGAACGACGAGTACCTTCTCAAGTGCTATAATGATGGATTGAGATAGTGGTCCCCTCCTTAATTTTGGCCTCTTCTACTTGGTAGCTCCTCCTTAGATTTGGATCTCGTGAAACAATGAAGTGACTAAGGCATGAAGACCCACAATAATCACATCAGGATGGGTGTACGGATCATAGTTGCCCAACACACTTTGCTCATGATGAAATATAATACCCCACCCTCGTTGCATCAAACTTGAAGATGGGAATGCATGGTAATGTTAACCAATGGCAACCCCTTACATCTCACGGTGGTAGCCACTACAACTTACGCAAACCGACTACATAGATTAAGGTGAAAAGTCATAGTACCCCTAGCCACTGGTATTGGTGGGGAGCTTAATGGTAACGCGCTTACTTGATGTCCAATGATGGTGGCAAGTTTTACATCCCTAGATCCCTGCCTCTATATAACTTGGTCAAACTCTCTAGGTGACACGCTAAAACACAACACCAAACTGCGACCAAGTATAATCGCAGTCCGGGAATGCAGTAAAGTAGCAAGTTCTAATGTCAACCCGGGGTCTAGATCTACTGCCAATTAATTCAATGAATCATGCATCATTTGATTATAATCAAGCAGTATAACAATCCCAAGTCATTACAATCAAGATCCCTAACACATGGAACTAGGGTTCTTCATACCCAAGTGAGAGAAAGTTCTACTCCATAGAGAGAGAGGGGAAAACAGAATACAAAGCAGTCATACTCAAAACAATGGGAAGAATCTGCTCTGGGATGATGATTTTCACTCCTATGATGATCTCCAAGCTTGATTTGATGAAACCCAGCTCCAAAACCACTCTTAGGATGAGTTCTTCGCACTTTCTCTCTCTAGGGCTCTGTTTTTGCTCCAAAAAGTCGATTCCCTCTCCTTTGGCTCGAAATTGGGTTAAAACCCAGCTTTTCCCGATCACACGGGCAGGCCACACGACCGTGTAGCTTACCCAGATGCCCGTGTGAGTGCCAAAACGCAACGTTTCGAATAAATGGACTTCAGGCTACCTACACGGGCAAGGGCACACGGCCGTGTGGAATTTCCATCATGCCCTTGTGAAGCCTCGCTAAATCCCACACGGCCACATCGGTTCCTTGCACGGCCGTGTGGGTTTTATAAGTGCCCGTGTGGCTTCCTCAGCGACTCGCCACACGTCCGATCTTCGTCCAATCGACCCCAAACTCGCTCCCAAGCCTTCATTCACGTACTAGGACCTGAAATATCACAAACAAGAACAACCTAGCGTGAAATCGGCCTAAAACACGAGAATCAACATCTCAAACGGTGTAAGAATAGGGGCAAAAACATGTGCAATTAACGATCTATCAAACTCCCCCACACTTAACCGTTTGCTTGTCCCCAAGCAAACCAAGTCAAACACAAGTTAAGCTCAGAATTTCAATCATACCAACATTGGGGAAAAATCATATAGGCACAGAACACGGGAATCGTACTGGCTTTCAACATCAACACATGAACAACTTCAATAGCAACCTGGACAACCACTACAGAGGACATTTGAGTGCAGCAAAATCGAGTAAAGGAAGAGTCTCCCTTCTGTTCACCAACCAACCTAGACTTGACTTAACCACTTACTCAAGACAGTCACCTCATGCACAAACCTCAAGATATCAGAATAGAGACCGAGCAATCTAGGTCCTCACCGGGGTACAAGAGTATATAGAATATGAGAAAATGAATCGCTCACTCTCGACCAGTGGGGTCAGGACAATTTGATGCGAAAAATGCGCATGCTTATTCTCTCAATCCCTAACATCTCTTCACCATGACGGCAGCCTCTAAAGTGCTAGAGTTCACATCTGGGGTGTCACCACTAACTAATCCGGAGGTCTTAGACGCAGGTTCAAATGACTGGCTAGGGTCTTGGACATGGGGAAAAGGCCTTTTAGGTGGTGGAAGTATTCATAGCACAAGGTTCCACATTTCCAAACCCACACAATCATAGTCAATCAAACAAGTATTTCCTTTCTGCCATTCTGCATTACTCAAATTCTCTAGAGAACAAGAGCGAAGGAGGTTATAAAAATGACAGCATTTCCAAGCCAGACTGCTAAGAAACACTACTTACTAGGCACTATTCAGATTTTTGATAGTGGCTCTCTTTTGCTTTCATTTTTTTCTTTGTTTTTCTTTCATTTTTTTTTTCATCTCTTAAGAGAACCACCACCTCTGCATATTTATCAAACACATGCCAACTTTTAAGCACTACCTCCAACCCTCGCATTATATTTAGCAGAAACAGCAGAGAACATGTATAAACTACTCTGTGGAACCTTCTAAAATATGCAAAAGGGTGATTTTCCATTGTAGACCGAAAGAAAGGATAACACACGGCTCAAGGGGCTGACTAGGGGATATGACACATCAAGACAGTCAATTTGGTCGTGGGCTAATCCTATGCCTCCATCATCTTAGCTAATGACAACGTGAATGCTACACATCATGGAAGAGGGATCTATCGCACAAGAAAGAAACGAGCAGGCTCAAATCTCACATGGCTACCTATATGCTCTATCTCTCATTCTAATTCCCTGAACTTGATGCATAAACGACTGTCAAGAACAAGTGATCAATCCAAGTCACAGTTGGTAAGCAAACAGTTGAAAAACCGAACCCCTACACAATTCTACTGCACGTCTCAGTCATCATCATAGGTTGTCCTAGTCACATTCCCCAGTTGTCATGCATTAATCCGAAAACCATTCAATTCACCAATCAAAACACAGTGCCAATATGATCAAACAGCAGTACTTGGAGCCCTCAGATCATAAAATTCGGAAAGCGGACTAGGCTCCAAGCACACATATATAGATTCCAGCCGATACAAAGCACCCCCCCCCCCCACACACACATTTAAGCACGACATTGCCCTCAATGGAGTAGAGGGAGAGATAAGGGGAACGATGTTTGACTCACTCCTACTGTCACTCTAGAAAATGGCCAAGTGTAACCACTTCCTAAAGCGTAGTATAGCGGGTTTGGGTTTTATTGTCAACCCAGGTCCTAGATGTGATGACTACTCGGTGAATTCTCGTTATCTAGCAGTGAACTTTTAGTGCAACTCAAGCAAACAAAAACACAAGGCAAGTAAACGGTTGTTGTCAAGTCAAGAGAGGTCACCCGGATATGGTTCCCCCTAGACTGCAGTTAAGTCGGATTGCAATTTACCAAGTTCAGTTTTCATGAAAGTTATACTGCGGAAGGTTCTTAATTAGCCTGAAGTCTCGACTAAAGGTCTCCAGACCCTCTCAATCTGAGTCTCTAGCGGGCGACTAACCTCCACCAGAGTAAACAGATTGAGGCCCTAACGAACCAAACCTCCACTACCGAACGGAATTCGGTACAGAATAGCAAATTGGCTCCTCGACTAAAGTCACCAATTCGCTACCTTCAATTAAGGATGCTCTATCAACCTAGGCAGATATTCTCATTCTAGGTCAAAGCAGAAACAACAGGAATTTGATCAGGATTCAAGTCATTCAATCATTCAAACCTCAATCGAATATAGTCAATTCACAAACTCTGTACTTGGGTTCATACAATTAGACCTAGCATACAATTCTAGGGTTCCCCATACCCAGATGAATGGGGGAACTACTCCATAGAGAAAGAAGCAAAAGCAGATTCAGACGCGGAAATCATACTGTGAAGACGGATTTCTGCTCCTGGACGGTTAATCGGCACTTCTCCAAGCTCAAGCCGGGCTCCAATGGTGATGAAGATCAAGCTATGGCACTTGGGAACTCTGGTTCGTCGCTTTCTCTCTCTAGGAATCAATTTCTCTCTCAAAAACTCGGAACCCTTTGAAAGTTGGCCTTCTTTTCCTTTTATCAGCTGCCAGATCGCGATACCCGGTCGGGTATTTTGGGGTTCGACCGGGTATTATCCAAAACGCGCGCATCAACAAAGAGAAAATCCCCGGTCTGCCTCTGTAATCCCCGACCGGGGATTTTGGCATTCTGCCCGGGCCCCTCTCTGGTTCTCGGGCGCCCAAAACAGTGAATACCCGGTCGGGTATTTGGCCACCTGACCGGGTATTTTCCTCCTGCGGCTCACTTTGTCCCAACTTCGCTCCTTTCGTCCCATAACTTGTTTC